AAAGAGAACTGGTCAGGGGCCCTTAGAGATGAAAAAGCAGGAAATGATTTGAAAAATGATTCCTTATTTTTACGGTTCAAAAAAGTCAAAATTTTACGAGACTCAGTATAAGGTGACAATATATAATCTGCCGTGAGTTATGGATGTTCGCGCTTGAACAGCAGCTAGTGACGCAAGAAAGATCATCTGGAATACACTCACGGACACAATTCGCTAAATGGTCAGATACTCGAGAATCGGCACTACATAAGATTTTAGTTTATGCATCCTAAATATTTTAGTCTCAACCAAAATAAATTCACACATAGTTCGAAAGTGAGCGCTATTACCTGTCATTGCCCATATTTCGTGATTGGATCCAGGAAGGAACTGTACTGATGCCACGTCCGAAGGCGAAGATAATGTTTTGACCAGTTCCATGGACTGAGAAAAACGGAAGACTACTTCAAAAACTACTTCGTACTCAGTTTTATTAGTCTATACTCACCGACGAGGACAACACATACACTTGTGCGTTGCGAGCAATCATAGCTAACAGAGAGCCATCCTTGGATACGGCGAAACGTCCAATGTTTTGACTAGGTACACCTTAAACACGTCCCGGTGGAAAGAACAATAACCAAGCGAGGTCCAACGTTGATAAAAACTCACACTTCGGAAGCCGCAACTGCATTACAGCTCCTTGTTCTAGATCGTACTTCATGAGATATTCCTAAAATTATTCTCTCATGCTGGAGTCGCTCCCATCGTTATGATGACAAGCAAGGTAAAAAACAACAGTACTCAAAAAGTTCTCAAAGCAAAAGTCCTAAGATGAGGAGATAAGAGGAAAATCCTCCTAAGCTGCAAGATTATTTCAAGAAGCAGAATATCTGAAAAGGAGCCCTCGAAAAGACTTTCGAAACGTCAACAGAAGAGAAAACGGGAAGAAAAATGACACGGATAAGCCGTAGGTAACCGTAGGTAAAAGTTTCATAAACTGTAAAAAGACTTTTATGGAAAGACCAAAAAGAAGCATACCTGACGTATTGATCCGCACACTACTGAACAGCCTCCTTGCAACAAGCCCATACATGTGATGGGAAAATTAGTAAATCGAACGTTCTGAAGGAAGTTCCCCGCTTCTGACCTATCTCCGACCTGATGCATACATAACACAATAACGAAATGTGACGAAGGTCTATGTTGTGAAACCTCACCCTGAATAACTGCACTTTCCCAGAAGCTCCACCTGTTATAACAACAGGTCTGACATTGTGGAATAAAACACTGCTGATCGGTCGCTAAATCAACAAAAATGGAGCTCATGAAGCAAATGAGAAGCGCTCCATTCGATGAACAACAATCACCGAGTCGTGGTATCCAACTGTGATATCTGGCCAGCGGAATGTAGACACAACATCTTTAACAAGGAAAGGATCCTTGTCTACGTATCGAACAGATGATCGCGTCATCTCATTGAACACTGCTTCCACTTCGGCATCCGACTCGTCACCTTTGCTTTGGGCTGAGTCCTTTTCTAGATTATTCGATTTTATGAATTCTGAACAAAATTGACGCCAAAAACATGTTATACAGTACTTGGTTCTAGCTTAGCCCACTTAGGTGTGCCATGCTGTTGCCGTTGAAAAGCCTTCCGAAGACGACTTTGATATTCCTGAATTTGGATTGACTAGTCAGATAATATCGTGAATTAACAAATCATCAAAAAAATGACACTTACTTCCGCTGCAATACAACCACCACTGTCGCTGCTACGTTTCAGAAGTACAGCCGTTTTTCCATTAAGAATTTGAACCTGATCAGCAGCGTCGTCATCATCACGCCAAACTGAGCTCGAGCTCACACGCGGATCCTGAAGAGACACATTTGAAAAGAATTGTACAGTAAAATCTTGACACTGTTAAAATTACAGCTCTATGTGTCAACGCAATCAAAAATATCTTACTACGCTATTTTCTCGAGAACTTATGAAATGTTCCTAAGAAGAAAACGAAGGGCGTGCATTAAAGGCAGAACCTACGTCGAATCTTTCGCTGCCAACTGCGCGTTGGTCAGCACCCTCAGGAGTCCGCCTGTCTCCCAACTATGCAACTTTCCCCTTTTTTGACCTTCGTTCTTATCGTGAATTCCTCCTTGGCAGAGCAGGGGGAGAAAAGAGCTATAACAAACGTCAAGAACCTAACGCAACGCGATTGTTCATGGAATATTAGATTGACGAAAGTCTTAATCGAAAGTTGGCCTTCATTACAGAGGCGCACATTTTTCTCACGAGTAATAGAATGAGATCTTAATCAAAGTATGTACGCCGTAACGATCCAGAACATATGCCTAACGAACCAGAACTGTGGCGGCAGCGGGTAGTCAAAAAAGGGTAGACATTCATTTTCAAATTCCAAGTGATCATTGGATTTTTTCTCATGAAAATTATTATGTTAAAAAAGAAGAAACAGATGGCGGTCGAATGCTGCCGGGTTTGAATAAGCAAGGAGAGCATTTCGACATCGAACTACCTAGCTTAATAGTTAAACCTGTCGGCCTCCTTCTGCAGCTGAGAAGCGCAAACATAAGTGGTCAAGACGAGTATGGCAGGAAATCACACTAGATGATGTACTTTTTAATCATCCCATCAATAACAGAACGGCGGTCACCTTTTGGATAACTTTAGATCAATCTCAAAGAGACAGCTACCGACGGCGTTTCCATGCTGCACCCAAAAACCGCCCTGTGTAACAACACATTGGAGCTCTTTCAATGTGTTGTTACACGGGGCGTTTGAGGGTAACACCCCCCCCCCCCCCCAAGTGTCGTCGATAATACGCAAGTAGCAGCATTGTCTTTATTAGAGATGGTGCAGAGTCTCGCTGTCCATGACAGTCGGGGGTTCGAAAACAAAGCTGCAAAATCAAAGGTGCGACAGCTGCCCAGAAGGGTCCTGCGACGAACCTCCCCAACGTTCACCCATCCCCGTCCCCTACCCAACATTCAGCATACGGCCCCTGATCCATTAAAACCTTTTGAAATTAACGCCCTGATGTAATATCGTATCCGTTAGTGCGCTGGCGGCAATTTTTCCCCTCGTTGCTTCGCCTTGGATTCATTTTTTATGGCTGCTTGTGCCCATTTCTTAACACCGCTCCTAAAACTACCAAGATCGTTGTTATAATCCTCATTCTTAGTATTCATGGCACTTTCGGAACCAAAGGCTAAGCGGCCATGTCCAGTCCATACAAAGGTATTTTATTTTCGTTCGTTTGCTTTATACCTTTTACACACGCCTCTCTGTCTTTCAGGGGCTCCTCGATGAAGAGGAAGAGGATCGCCTTGCTAAGAAGCTACTTGGTGATATCCATGAAAGATTGGAGCAGTCATCCTCAGCGACGACGACGATGATACATGTATAGAAGAGGTCGGACTTTTTTTTGCCCACAGATGCAGTGTGTATAATTACAGAGAGGCGCTTTAATGAGTGTGATCAGTCATGAAAAACTTTCTTGCCTTAGATATGTCGTGCTGCAAGTTTTAAGAGCCAGAGATTTTTCGTGGAAGGTGGCCTAATTTCCATTGAAACTGGATTTGCTCTTTTTTCAAGGAGATTTAGTAATGTGTATTCGCATGGAATACCGTGGAAAAAATGACCGATCCCAGTCTAGGGTTGGGTACATGTCCAGGGTCAAGCATAGGGTTGTTATGAAATACAAGGAATAGTCCGATATCAGCCTATCCCCTCTAATTCTGACTACATCCGGATATCGTCTCGCTTCTTTTCCGTTGCGACAAGCTGAACATTCCTTTTGTTTCCTGAATTATATGTTCCTAGTTGGTGACAATATTTGTTTCTTTTTACTGGGCTCAAAGTAAGAAGTAAGGAAATCATATCGAACCTGATATTCGAGGAGGCTAAGTTCATCATGGTCAAGTATAGCTAGCACTTTTCCTTAGATGTCGGTCAGACTCTGCGATTGCATCGCGCGATGCAATCGCTCTGCCAAAAGTGCAAGGCGGCAATGGCCCGCCGCGATCGATACCGATGTCGACTGCATCGATGTGGGCGGGGCCAATCGCCCGTCGCTTGTGCACATTGCAAAAGCGACTGCATCGCGCTATGCAATCGCTCTAGGCAGGCTGGTTTATAAAAGCCACACAGGCAGCAGTATTAAGTTGAGCAATAATTATCCCCCTTTCTCACTTCATAAGTTTACTATTAAAATGAATCAAAAACAACAATCAATTCGTGATCAACGAAGGCTCTCGAACAGTCCTATCTGCAACTATGCTCGGCTCAGGCTTCATTGGCTTTACAAGCAGATGCAGAAGCATCCCGTTTCGAAATCAGCTTGCACTCATAAGGAAGGGCAATCTTTTTTTTGCTAGTGTGTAAGCTCCATAGTGAAGTAAATACGCAAGTGATGCACATTAAAATGTGCAAGAGATTGAGCGCTTTCAGACTACATAATAACTTTTGAAAAATCAGCAAAAAAATTAACGATGAGCCTGAAAAAAACCGACGGAATTATTTCTGAACCTAATACTTTAGGTGACCGAAATGATTTGCGAGCCATCG